ATGTTTTAATTCATACGCTTTTCTGATATTTAAATATAAAATAAAATTGATATAGATACTTAATAATAGTTTTTAACGATCTTAGAAAGAATCCATTGGAGATGGACTTATGAGATTCCCTCTTTTTGTTCCTTTATCACAAAATACTTAAATGTGGGAACAGCGGTATAGAAGCAAATTTACAAATGTCCTAGCTAGTAAGCCCCACCTTAAAAAATTAAGACCCTCGAATAAGAGGCTCGATATTTTGAGTCCGAAGTTTATTCAATATAATACAATGCATGCAGCCACGTAGCATCGTTTTTGAAAATGGGGGGGGGGGGGGGCTGAGAAAAAAATAGCTACCTGAAAAGTTGACAAGCAAAAAAAAAAAGGGGGGGGGTGACTTAAGAAAAGTTGCCCAAAGTTGACAGTCCTATTTCATGGGGTGGGGGGGGCTTACTTTTTCAATGCCAATTTTTTCCCGTACCAATTGCTTGCAGTAGGAGTAAAACCTTAAGGAGTGGATCTCATCTTTTCAAAGAAGCAGTAACTGACCACTGGCACCCCAGTGTTAGTCAGGGATGGGAGTGAAAAGATGTTTGATAAGAAGTAACTGACCCTTTGAATTTACTAGTGGGCTCTCAGAAAATATACTTTCAGAATGGCAGACTTTAGGCCTATAATATATACCGGTATAGATCCATTATTTCCGAATATTTACAATCAACATACCCGACTTTAATATCACATGTCTAGTTGCTACGTGTGTATGTCATGGTCCAAAGAGCTATTTATGTATTAAAAAAGGATGAATCCTCCTGAATAGATAAAGTGTATATCTCTCTTAACAGGATAATTTGTGCAAATATCTAATTTGCCCGAACGAATATCTAATTTGTCCGAACAAATAACTTATTTGTCCGAACAAATTTCTAATTCGTCCGAACGAATTTCTAATTTGTCCGAACGAATATCTAATTCGTCCGAACAAATAACTAATTCGTCCGAACGAATATCTAATTCGTCCGAACAAATAACTAATTCGTCCGAACGAATTTCTAATTTGTCCGAACGAATTTTTAATTTGTCCGAACGAATATCTAATTCGTCCGAACAAATAACTAATTCGTCCGAACGAATATCTAATTCGTCCGAACGAATTTCTAAATTTGTCCGAACGAATATCTAATTCGTCCGAACAAATAACTAATTCGTCCGAACGAATTTCTAATTTGTCCGAACAAATAAAAATATTTTTTTTACCTGGCCCTCCAGCGGCGCCGTAGTTTACCGTTTTGGTCTAACCTTAAACTATTTTTCTGTTAAATATAAAACTTTGATTCCTTATTGAAACAAAATAAGAACAAAATAAAGCTAAATTTCAATCGCTGTGCAGGAAAAATTGGTCAAATTGAGCTTATATGATAAAAACTGCTATTCTTTGCTCACATTTCTTGTTGGATATAATAAATTAAGACTTTTTGAGGCATAACTTCAAAATATGGATAATTTTTGTTGCTTAATAAAAGCGCCACAAGCGTTTAATTTTGTTTGGTGAAATCATTTTGGCTATCGTGTACAACAGACGAGGCAAACAATGCCAGCAGATTTAAAACGAAATACGTCAGTCAGAAACAGTGGATACAAAGTTGAATAAAGTATAAATTTGCTGTATCCTGGTAAGCATCGAATCTCCTCAAGACATATTTTGGCTGTTAATATTGGTCATATGTATGGTACTTGCTATCACAGGTATTTATGGACATGTATCCCTCCCCCACGAGATTTAAACAAAAACTCATCGTAAAGATCTATTTTTTTTAATTTTCCTATTATACACATGATGAATAAGTGTAATAAATATAATTTGTGGAAAAAATGTCCATTATGCCCTGGGTTTTTTTTTATCGGAGGGGGTGGGGTGTTCCTGTCCACAAGTACCTGTGGTTGTATACGACAGCAACTGAATCAAACTATTATTCGATAATCAACACAATATATTTTGTGCACCTTTGGGGAGAATTTCTCCACTTTCTAGCATTGGTCAATCATTTATCTTTCACTCCCTTATTCTAGGCATATTATTTAACTAATTTGTATGTTTTATCCATCTCCCAAACCCTTTATACTCGTCTCTTTAAGTGATAAACTCGCTTGATTAAAATTATTTGTTAGGTTGTTGAAAATTCACTTCAAGCAAGTTTATTGCCTGTAGAGACAACTATAAATGGTTGGGAGGTGAATAAAATATACATTTTGGCTACGAATATTTCAAGTATTGGGTAGTGAAAGGTAGTTGATTGACCAATGCTTGAAAGTGGAGAAATTTTCCCCAAAAGTGCGCAAAAAATATTGCGCCATAAATTGTACCTTTTTTGCATTACGGGATCTGTAGCGTTATGGTCAAAGACAAATATATAAAACCATAACGCTACAGATCTGCAGCTATTTTGATCGCAACATCGCAGCTAGCGACAATAATCTGCAAGAACACTCTTACTGTGTACAATTTTATGCTGAAGTCTGCATCAAACGTAACAGCTTCGTAAGGAATGCCCCTTTTAGCAATTTTATTAAAAAACCAAGTTAACTACTTAAAACTTTTACATAATGATTAATATTTTTATTATTTTTGAATACTTTACTTGTAGGTACTTTAGTGTGGTCCTTGATATTTCACAGTCCCAAATATCCATTCTTCGTTCCCTGTCGTTGGAAAGCAAAATTACGAACATTCACCAATGGACCGTCTTATTTAAACATGTTGATTATTGAATAATAGTTTGATTCAGTTGCTGTCGTACACAACCACAGGTACTTGTGGACAGGAACACCCCACCCCCTCCGATAAAAAAAACCCCAGGGCTTAATGGACATTTTTTTCCACAAATTATATTTATTACACTTATTCATCATGTGTATAATAGGAAAATTAAAAAAAATAGATCTTTACGATGAGTTTTTGTTTAAATCTCGTGGGGGAGGGATACATGTCCATAAATACCTGTGATAGCAAGTACCATACATATGACCAATATTAACAGCCAAAATATGTCTTGAGGAGATTTGATGCTTACCAGGATACAGCAAATTTATACTTTATTCAACTTTGTATCCACTGTTTCTGACTGACGTATTTCGTTTTAAATCTGCTGTCATTGTTTGTCTCGTCTGTTTTACACGATAGCCAAAATGATTTCACCAAACAAAATTAAACGTTTGTGGCGCTTTTATTAAGCAACAAAAATTATCCATATTTTGAAGTTATGCCTCAAAAAGTCTAAATTTATTATATCCAACAAGAAATGTGAGCAAAGAATAGCAGTTTTTATCATGTAAGCTCAATTTGACCAATTTTTCCTGCACAGCGATTGAAATTTAGCTTTATTTTGTTCTTATTTTGTTTCAATAAGGAATCAAAGTTTTATATTTAACAGAAAAATAGTTTAAGGTTAGACCAAAACGGTAAACCACAAAAAGAAAGTAAATGAATGTTATAAATAGTCAAAATTATGATATCAATGAGGTCTCAGTCATAGCGATTGATTACTTTGCCGTCTGTTGTCACAGTTGCATCGGTTGTCGCAGTTGCCGGTAATAGGGTGTGATGATTATTATGCTTAATTATACGTGTATCGAGTACATGTAACACAAAGTGAATGGTTCGGGTCCTCGAATAAAGTATGCCTTCACTGAAATCTAGTTCCGGTTGACTGCGTTAGGTTATAGAGAATGTATGGTCTGCACACATTGAAATGTCGTTTATATTTACAGAAAATAATATTAAAATGCAAAAGCCTGTAAAAATTAAATCAAATATACAAATGAAATGTTTGAAAAAAAAAATGTGCCAACTGATGGATTCACACTAGATCACTAAAAATGCTGGTGGTTCACGTCTGAAGCTTAATTTTCTGAGCTATAATGACTATGACAACAAACGTCATAAATATCAACCAGTATTAAAGAAATAGATTTTCGCATATTTTGTATGTTTTTCGAGAATTTCGACCCTAGGGCAGGGGTACCCCTAAAAAATCTTGTTTTTAACCATTCCTTAGATCAAAATCTATTAAAATTTCATAATTTAATTTAGAGGCAGGCCTGCCCTGAAGGACTTCTACGCCAAAATTTAAGCAAACATTGGTGCTTTAAAGGACAAAATGCTGCTTTGATCAACTTTTGAATTTAATTTCAAAGTTGCAAATAATAAATTTTAAGTTCAAAATGCTAATTTGAAAAATTTAGACAAATATACGATGGGAAACAACTAAAGAACAATAATTTTTAAAAGGGACTTTTATCCGGAAATTGATCTTATTCTTATAGGTCAAATCTTTTGAAACAACGAATACATCCTCTAGCAAGGGGAAAATCATTGAATAAAATATGAAAAAAGCAAACAGTAATCAAACTTTCAAAAGTTATTCAAACAAAAAATGAAGAGCAGAGAAGACTCGGACATCTGAAAGGATCAGAGTTGGGTTCAGGTGCCATGGAATAGGAAGTATTCCTCTAATGCGTTCCCACCGACCTTGTACTTGCAGGGAAAGCAAAAAAAAAATCCGTATACAGAAAGTAAATATTGTTTTTAAAATGCTGGTCGGCATTTGACTTTATGTAATTGTATTGACCACAGAACTTTCGAAATATTCGCTTTAAACGAAGCTATTAATTGACATCAATGTTTCTTCGCTTTGTTTGACAAAAGCAGCCCCATTTTAGAAATTGTTCATACGAACAACATGTTCCTGCATATTCAATCAACTTAGACTTATTAACTTCATAGGCAGGTGATAAGGGTATATCGCTACAAAAATAAAGCGTAGTAAAAAAACCGCTAGTATTATCTCTTTTTCATAAAGTTTGAAGTTTAATATGATGTATAAAACTCTGTGGTGTCTTTTTATCGAGCTTAAAAGGATATATCAAATCATCAAAAGTAAGTAAAATGAATATTGTTAGTTTCATTACTTGTATTATTACTTAACTTTGAATTCACATTTTTCACACTAAAGGAAACACTTCTGAAAACCTTATTACCAGAAAGTATGGCAAATATTTTACCAGAAGTGATAAAGGACATTGGACGATGCCGTGAGGTGGTTGATATTCTGTCACGTGAAGAAGTCCTGGCTATGGACTGTGAAGGAATATCCCTGGGTGCAGAAGGTCCCCTTACGTTGTTACAAATAGGCACATACTCGGGACAGGTCTACTTGTTTGATATACTTCTCAATCAAGATCTCCTGAAGAGAGGCAGACTGAGAGAACTTGTAGAATCGAAAAATATCGTCAAGGTTATAATTACTATCAAGTTAATGGGGGTTACTGACATTCATTTTCATGAAGTTTTCTTTTATCCTTTTGAAATATTGTGAAATGAAAGATTTTATAATTAAAGTATTGCTTATTACTGTTTTAGGTGATTCAGTCCTGCTCAAATGACAGTGCTGCTCTACATTTCCAATTTAATGTAACACTTCAGAATGTGTTCGACACACAGGTAATGTTTTCATATTATGTAAGGTCTTGTATAACTTTTTTTCATGAACAAATTTTTCAGGGTTTAAAAAATGCTTTAATTTACTGATAAAAAATCATACTTCTGAATGTAATTGTCTTTTCTTTTGACGCAACAATGAGTTCTTAACAATATATGAACTACACTTCACAGAAATACGAATTTTTAAATTTGCTCTCTCGAAATTTCATTTACACATGGACTTATAAGACTTTTTATGAATCCTATTGATATTGATGTTAATAAATGGTACAACATGAAGATACTTGAACTTCCACTTTTATATCCATAAACTATATGTATATTGTACGACGGCGTATTCGTGCCATATTGACAATGTAGAAAAAAAAATTGTTTGAACGATTTAGAAAATCGTTTGTACGATTTGATAAATCGTTTGTACGATTTTGTAAATCGTTTGTACGATTTTGTTAATCGTTTGAACAATATAGAAACTCGTTTGTACGATTTGTTAAATCGTTTGTACTATTTAGAAAATTGTTTGTACGGTTCAAAAAATCGTTTGAAGATTTAAATAATCGTTTGAACGATTTAGAAAATCGTTTGAATGTTTTTTTTCTTCTAATTCCGAACAGAAGCGTACTGGATAAAAAACCCTGGTAAAGCAATGGTATAGAGAAGTCCCTTCGCTGCTAACTATAACGGGTACAGAAACACTTATAATAAATTGTATCTTGTTAATTCAACTGACCATCTACGTGCCACAGTGGTGTAGCATCGTTTTTGAAAGTGGGGGGCCAGCCAGAGAAAATCTTTTTTACTTACCTGAAAAAAGTTGACAAGCACAAAAAAAAAAGGAAAAGCTTGCCAAAGTCGAAAATCCTATTTCGGGGCTGGGGAGGGGGGGGGGGGAGGGTAAACCTTTTTTTCAGTGTTAACTACTTTTAGTACCAAATCTAATACTACATTTTGGTACATAACTAAAAGTGGGGGGGGGGGGGGGGGACCAGGCTTTCAATTAATATTTCCTATAGTATAAGTAAGGTTGGGGAAAAAAAGTGGGGGGAGCCTCCCCCCCCCCCCCCTGTTGCTACGGCCCTGTGCCATACGTATTTTGGACTTTGTCAGTGTACAATCTTCGTCTTAATCTGTTTCTTTTCCTTAAACACTCCCTCCGGATCTTGTATAGAAAGAAAACATCGAATATCTTCTTGAGAAACGGTAAATCCTACCATAATAGCTTTCCAGTACAGCCACCTGTATCCATGCAATTGACCACATAACTCAAGTGTTTCCTCAGTGAAAAGAGTTACATCCCCTATGTCGGATTTGGTCTTACGTCTGAACAGTCCTAACTTAGCTGTTGTCCTTTTCAACATTCGTTCACTAACAAAGTATCGTTGAGTTTGCGAAAGAATCTGTGCAATTTCCGAAATAGTGAAACCCATCTTGAATTACCCCTTGATTAATTTTTCTCCGTCATTCATCGTGTCATTCATTAAAACTATGCGTAGTTACGTTGTCCTACTAATGCAAGGTTTCTTAATATGTTTCTTCTACGTGTAATAACCGGAAATATTAGCTAAAGCGTACAAACGATTTATTAAATCGTATAAACGATTTATAAAATCGTACAGACGATTTTAAAACAAATCGTACTGACGATTTTCTAAATCGCACTGACGATTTTCTTAATCGTTCAAACGATTTCTGAATCGTACAAACGATCTTAAAAATCGTACAAACGATTTTGAAAATCGTACAAAGGATATAAAAAAAATCGTACGAACGATTTTTTAAAATTTTCTCTACATTGTCAATATGGCACGAATACGCTGTCGTAATATTGTCTTATCAATCGAGGTAAAACTTCCACATAGACTTCCCTTGCCTATTAGTACAAATAACCCCTTAGATACATGTATGTACACATTTTTGGTTTGTAATTAAAGGTACATTAAATAAACATCTACTTTTCCTATCAAAATTAAAATTATTTATAATTTGCATTTACCAGGTAACAAGTAAATTCAAAGAAAGAAAATTTAGAATTTTGCTTCAATTTATTTCTTCCCCAAATAGGTAGCAAACCTTGTAATCCAAGAACATCAAGGACGTAAGATGGCTCCTCTTCTTAAATTGGATGCTATTTGTGAAAAATACAGTAGAAATAAAGCTGATTTAAGACAGAAAGAAGACGTGCAGGTACTGGTTATAAATAATTATGATTTAATGAAATGTTTTAAAGGAGTGAAAATTAAACTCGTAAAACATTCGATACACTGTACGCCCATAATTTGCTCTGCTCCAGATTTGAAAGCCTTGACTTTAAATATTTTTTGTTATCTCCATATATTTCGCAAAATAACATTTTTAACTAATTTGTAATGGCACTTGGTATTAAGACAGAATGGATGAAAGTCACAGGTGATCTTTGGGCAAAACGACCAATGACTGAAGAGATGATATTGTACGCAGCAGGTGACGTCACTGCTATTGTACCAGAAGTGTACGAAAACCAGAAAAAGTACTCTTTTTTTTTACACTTAATACAGACATGATGGTTTTTAATTTTGAATTGGTAATGATAAAGACCCCAAAAAAATTCACTAATTTATAAATCTTCACACTTTTGCAATTTATATCTCAAGGTATCTACTGGAGTACAACTTGTGGAGGAAATTTGAAGAGAGGGTTCATGAGGAAATTTATTACTTCATTGACCCAACACTAAAATTGAAAAGGAAGGAAAGAGTAGACGGAATCGTGAAAGAGATAATCGCTAAAATCAATGCAACAAGTCCAGCAAACATAGGCATTGATGATTTCGAAGAAGACCATGACGAGATAAGAGCTCTGAAAAGATTGAATTTTAGAGAAGCGTCTGCTATATCACCACTAATAAATCGGTTAAAAACAGAAATCCTGCAGAAAGATCTGAATGAGCTTTCAGAAAAACTAGATAAGGAAGGTGACACTTTTGTTGCAAATTGGAAATCAAAAGCTTGGATTTTTGATTCTGAGAAACACCCTGATGCATCAATCAGAGAAGCTGCTAAAAGAGTTCTGAAGAAGATGAATGATATCGCTTTGAAGGACGTTTGTAGCAAATACAACATGAACACAAAGCTGAGTCATGTTCGTGATATGGAAAAAGAAACACTGCGCTCACTACGGCCGAATGGTACCAGCGACCCGAATATTCATCCAGTGGCCCTCCGTCTTCATTGGATGTTGATGGAAGATGATTTGGATAAAAAAATCTCAGAGTTCCAAGCCAAACGTCTGGAATTCAAAATGACCGAGGGATTTTATAGGAAAATGAAGTTTTACATCGCCAAGAACACCCGTGTACCTCCAATCATCAAAAGAAAATCGAAGATGTTCAAGGATGAACTTGATTTAACTTTTGGACGTGATGTTATTCCTACATAAGTGACAGAACGGTGGCCTTTCGAGTTTATAGAATTTTACAGAATGTATACATGTATGTGAAATGTACAAGTGTGATTTCACTTATCAGTGAAACATTTTTTTTTAATTTTTTTTTTTTATTTTTTTTATTTTTGTTGTTGTTGCAAAAATATATTTTTAAAACGATTTTGGCCATGCACCATTTACTTAATTCTGATTTTACTTGCTATATTACTTGTATATATATAAGCATGGTTTTTATTATAAATTATTAAAACTTGCTAATGCTTTGCTTTATATTGAATTGTTTGAGTCAGTCGTTCTTACATCCAAATAAAAACAAGTTGGGGTAATGGGTCACATGCTTATTAGTGCGCATAAATACATTGCCACCCCGAGAACCGGGCACTACTTTTACTACGAACGTAAGCAAATCGACTGGTGCTAAAACACAATGTCGCATTCGATTTATTGATTGTATATTGTTTACCTCCCACTCGAGAATTTTTCACTCAAATGGAGACGTAACCGTTTGCCGGTGAAGGGCTTCAAATTTGGACCTATACTCGGCACTCAGGGCCATTGAGCAATGAGAGTTCTTTATCGTGCCAACACATACCGTGACACGGGACCTACATTTTTAAGGTCATATCCAAAAGACCCGTGACTTTGACTTGTAGTGCCGAGCGTTGGCAAAGGAATAGACACTACCTATGTTTAGGTCTTTGGCATGACGCGGCGCCACGAACGAGAATCGAACCCCGGCCTCCCGATCACGATGCGAACGCGCTACCACTAGGCTACCGAGACCGGTATGTCGCATTAGAAAAAAAATTTGAACTTGATTAAAATCTGTGCAAAACAAACTATTTTTAATTAACAAGAATTTTTTGTGCAATTATCAAAATACACATTTGCTTTCAACCCCCTTGCAAGACATAACTATCATGGCTGAGTTTGGCAATGTTGATATCGGTGATGACGACCCGTTTCTGTCCCTTTTCTTTGATTATGATATCCTGGCCGCATTGGATCTCTTTTTAGCTCACCTGAGCCGAAGGCTCAAGTGAGCTTTTTTGATTAAAAGTTGTCCGTCGTTGTTGTCGTCGTCAACTTTTCACATTTTCATCTTCTTCTCAATAACCACTGGGCCAATTTCAACCAAACTTGTCACAATGTATCTTTATGTGAAGGGGATTCAAGTTTGTTCAAATGAAGGGCCATCCCCTCTTCCAAGGGGAGATACTTATGAATTATGAAAAATTAACGGCATCTTTTAAAAATATTCTCTTAATGAGCCATTTGGCCAGGAAAGATAAAACTCATGTGGAATCATCCTCAGGTAGCAAAGATTCAAGTTTGTTCAAATCATGACCCCGGGGGGTAGGGAGGAGCCACAATGGGGTATGAAAGTTTAACATAAGAATACAAAGGGGAAAACTTTTAAAATCTTTTTCTGCAGAACCACTGGGCCAGGAAAGATGAAACTCATGTGGAATGATCCTAAAGTAGGGAAGATTCAAGTTTATTCAAATCATGGCCCCCGGGGGACTAGAATGTGGCCCCAATGGGGTATTAAGTTTAACATAAGAATACAAAGGGAAAATCTTTAAAAATCTTCTTCATAACCACTGGGCCTGGAAAGATGAAACTCATGTAGAACTAGATATCATTGAGATGGTTGCCATCTCAAAGGGCCCCGCTTTTAGCAATGAACATGAAAATGTAAGGTAGCTGAAAAGGGTTAATTTTGAAGGTGTTTGAGATTAAAGGGAAGTTCAACATAAGAACAAAAAGGGAAAATCTTTAGAAATCTTCTCCAGACCACTGGGCAAGGAAAGATGAAACTCATGTGGAATCATTCTCAGGTAGGAAAGATTCAAGTTAGTTCAAGTCATGATCCCTTGGGCAAGGGTGTGGCCACAATGGGTGATCAAGTTTTTACATAGGAATGCATGGTAAAAATCGTTAAAATTCTTCACAAAGCCATTATAATCATCAATTTAAAAGAATAAAAAAGGTAATGTAGATTTGACATTCAGGAGAATAGAGGAGTCATAAGGTGGACGAATGTGTATACAAAGGCTATATCAGTAAAGATTTTCATCTTATAAACAACAGAACCATGTGCCACAAAAGCATTCTAAGGAAGTGTAGATTTAAGTTTGTTTAAATATCCCCTCCCCAGAAACCATTTTTATAATAAATTTAAACTTTTCAATACTTAACTAATTTTTGCTTTTACCTAGCCAGTTGCTCAGGTGAGCGATTTGGCCCCTAGGCCTCTTGTTTAGAGCTCCAGCAGGCGTTGAAGAGGTCGAGGAGGAGCTGAAGATGTCTAACATGAAGGCACTTTCTAGCCCTAATATGCCCCTCCCTTTCTAAGAGAGTTGAGTCAACGTCAGTTTGAGGACTCCAGGCAATCCCTTAAAAATATTCAAGGGGAACTGTGAAACCCTTTTAAGGTACATATGTACAAACATATAAATCATTGTAAATTAGTCAAATGCATGTTCTACGAGTACACTAGTATATCACTTTGCTTCATACAAGGATGTATAGTACCAAGTTTGGTTAAAATTGGCTTATTTGTTCTTTAAAACCAGAAGTCTCTGTCGAGACTGAAGCTCTACTGGTTTGAACTTATAGCAAAGAAAGAGAAAAGTACTTAAGCAGCTGGGATTTGAAACTAAATAGAATAATGATCGTTGATAAAGTCTCTTTATGTTCTTAGTGTAGTCTACTTGTGTGCCAGGTTATACTGAAATCAGACCAAAACTGTAGGAGGAGTAGCATTTTGAAACAATTTTACAGACATTTCTATTTTTAGTAACCACGGCAACACCGTTCATCAAAATTAAAATTCGATACACAGAATTATGTATCTTAGTGTATTCTACTTATGTGCCAAGTTATATTGAAATCAGACCAAAACTGTAGGAGGAGTAGCATTTTGAAACAATTTTACAGATATTTCTATTTTTAGTAACCACGGCAACACCGTTCATCGAAATCAAAAACCGATAAACAGAATTATGTTTCTTAGTGTATTCTACTTGTGTGCCAAGTTATAATGAAATCAAATCAAAACTGTAGGAGGAGTAGCATTTTGAAAGAATTTCACAGAAATTTCTATTTTTAGTAACCACGGCAACACCGTTCATCAAAATCAAAAACCGATACACAGAATTATGTATCTTAGTGTAGTCTACTTGTTTGCCAAGTAATACTGAAATCAAACCAAAACTGTAGGAGGAGTAGCATTTTGAAAGAATTTCACAGAAATTTCTATTTTTAGTAACCACGGCAACACCGTTCATTGAAATCAAAAACCGATACACAGAATTATGTATCTTAGTGTAGTCTACTTGTGTGCCAAGTTATAATGAAATCTAACCAAAACTGTAGGAGGAGTAGCATTTTGAAAGAATTTCACAGAAATTTCTATTTTTAGTAACCACGGCAACACCGTTCATCAAAATCAAAAACCGATACACAGAATTATGTATCTTAGTGTAGTCTACTTGTGTGCCAAGTTATACTGAAATCAGATCAAAACTGTAGGAGGAGTAGCGTTTTGAAAGAATTTCACAGAAATTTCTACTTTTAATAACCACGGCAACACCGTTCATCGAAATCAAAAACCGATACACAGAATTATGTATCTTAGTGTAGTCTACTTGTGTGCCAAGTTATATTGAAATTAGACCAAAACTGTAGGAGGAGTAGCATTTTGAAAAATTGTTTACAGACAGACGGACAGACGGACAGACAGACAGACAGACGGACAGACGGACGGACGCCGGACGCATTACTATCGCATAAGCTCTTCTGGTCTCTGACCAGTAGAGCTAAAAATGAAAATGTGAAAAGTTGACAGAAGGACAGCTAGAAGGACGGACAGCTGACGAACAATGAGTGATCAGAAAAGCTTATCTTCAATATATGCTTGTAAACTTTTTGACTTGTGATAAAAAGGTTAAACGGGACATATTTTCTTCCCTTGCATTATTGAATGCATATGGTTTCGCGACAATTGCTGTTGTTCCCGATTGGTATTATTTTCCTTACTAATTTAAATAATCAATTATTGTTTATCTTATGATTTATTCATTTAATAATAATTTTCTTTATATCATTATGGCATTTTTCGATAAAATAAAATATAGATACTTCAGATGATTTTAAATATTTAGGCTGAATATTTATCTTGATAATGTGACTTCAAAACAAAATTACGAGACTGACCTCCAGTGGCTGTTGGACTACTTTAATGAGAAAAAAAGAGTGCAGAAAAGTTGTAGTTTACTGCTGGTGACTTTAAAAAGTTATAAAATGCAGATACCTTCACCCCCCTTGAATTAAGGAAATAAAAAAAATAAAACGTTTGCTTCCATCTGTGAAGTTTGAACGGGACGGAGGGGGGGGGGGGGGAGTGATATTGCCTTCTCAAAGTTTTAATATGTTAACTGCATAAACATCACACTATGACTTTTTAAAATTTCGCTTTATTTGTTAAAATCATTTCTTCACATACACCCCCTTCCTACACACAGTTGCTTCTAACGTGACTGTTTAATTAACCACATTTCCAAATTCTATATCAATCAGCATCACAGTTCTGCTGAATGTGCAGTTTAAGGATGGTTTACCTGATGGAATGGTTGATGTGTACCATCGCTCTATCGATGAGCATATTAAGACGATGATAATGGAATCGTTTAAAAAAACGATAGCTGTATGTGGTGTCTTTTTGCCAACATAGTCTTTGACATGAACATTCAAATTAAAGACATTCGAACCGTTATTCATTGAGGGGTGGGGGATTATGCTTGTCTTAATTATTGGCAGGAGATTGGAAGTACTGGTCGAGATGGCCAGCAGTCTACTGCAATCTTGTTATGCGATCACTCACAAAACATATAGATGCTGTCATGAGACAGTAATACCCGCACTAAGGTGTTTGCCTCTAAATGCACACTTCTTCATATTGGGCTTTACCAAGGGAAAAGTCAATATAATTCAATAATTTACATAATACATGTATTCATCAAATTGAGCATAATATGC